CTAGACTACCATACTCCTCCTTATGCCACTCTTTCAACTTAGATTTGAGAAGCTTTAATTTGGAGGCTAACACAAAACCAGGCCTACCAACAATCTCAAAAAAATTCCACCAAGTGTGCACTTTAGCAGGAAACTCTTGAACATCTAACCACCAGTTTTCAAATTTAAAATAGGATTTGTTGAATTCCCATTCCCCGCATTTCAACGAGATTGGTAAGTGATCAGAAATAACTTTTGGAAGGAGACTTTGTCTGATAAAACTGAATTCTTTATCCACTCCAAGAGAAGAGAAACATGTCTATTCTAGAAGCACACTCAGAGTTGTCACCTTGGCTCCAGGTGAATTGGCCCCCCGGTAGAGGAGGATCAATCAATTCCAGCTCTTCCACTTTTTCTGAAAAGTCTTCCATTGCTCTACTGTATGAGGTCCTGTTTTTCCTTTCGTCAGCAAATCTGGTGGTGTTGAAATAAACCTTTCATCGCACCCAACTCTAGCCAAAGTTCATTTCTTTCCACTCTCTTGCATGGAGCATACACCCCAGTCAAAGCCCAAAGGAAGTTGTCTATCACAGAGTTAAAGTTGCAAGTGATAGAGTATCTTCCCTTTTCAACTAAATCCCCCTTCCATTCTCTCTTATCCCACATAATTAAGATCCATCCCCTTGTACCCTCAGCTTCTAGTTTTATGTGATTAATCCACCTACTGCTACCTAGTTGTTTTGCAATACCATCACAATCCCCCTCTAACTTTGTTTCTTGCAGACACTAAATATTTGCCCTCCGCTCTTTGAAAGCTGATTTTATCAATTTCCTCCCCCCCCCCCCCCCCCCAATAAGACCCCTAACATTCCAGGAGATTAGGTGTATCTTCATTAACTTTTGATGAGAAGTTGCCTCCCTCTGATCCTTGGGGTTCCGTCATTGTATTTCACTCCAACCTTCAAGTTTTTCCTTTCATACACTCCTTTTAATCTTGGCGAAGCCCCTGTGCTTTTATTTTTTGATCGCACCATTGCCTTCATCTCCTTTTTCCTGTTGTCTATCTTCAAAAATAAAGCCATAGCTTCCCATTCGCACCCTTCGAAGCTCACACCATATGTTTTGCTCATCTTCCCAATGTTTCTTTTGATCCATGAAGGAACATCTAGGGCACAGTTATGAGGGTGTTCCTCTTGTTGCTCTTATTACCGAGCATTTGAAGGGAAACTCATTTAAATGGACGGATGATGCCCAAAAGAGTTTTGAACGGATTAAGACAAAAATAACTCAAGCACAGGTGCTTGTTTTGTGCAACTTTGATGTAATCTTTGAAGTTAAATGTGATGCTTCCGAAGTTGGGATTGGAGTTGTTCTTGGTCAAGAAGGTAGACTTATTGCTTATTTTAGGAGAAGCAGAACGATGCAAAAGTTCAAGTATTCTACTTATGACAAGGAGTTCTACGCCATTGTTAGAGCTCTTTCTCATTGGATTCATTATCTTTTACCTCGAGAATTTGTGCTTTATTCTGAATACGAGGCCTTGAAGTATGTGAATAGCCAACAGAAGCTCAACATTAGGCATGCCAAGTGGGAAGAATTTTGCAAGTCTTTCACTTTGTCATTAAACACAACGCTGGAAAGGTCAATTAAGTAGCTGATGCATAAAGTCACAAGCCTTGTTTTGTTTCTGCCATGTAAAACACTTGCGGATTTTGAACACATAAAGGAATTATATGCAACAGATCCAGACTTCGGAGCTAGCTATCTGGGGTCAATACTAGGAGGGTCCTCAACGTATGTTTGTGCTTAGGGATGGCTATCTTTATCATGGTAAGCAGCTTTGTGTTCCACAAGGAAATTTGCGTGAATTTATAGTCCGTGAGTCCCATGAGGGAGGGTTAGCTGGCCATTGGGCAAACAAAAACTCTACGCCTAGTTCAAGAAAACTTCTAGTGGCCTAAGATGGTATGGGATGTCAATAAGCTGATTGCAAAATGTGAAACTTGTATAAAGGCAAAAATGCACAAAAGCAATTCGGGTCTTTACATTCCTCTGCCAATTCCTACTCAACCTTGGGAAGACATTAGCATAGACTTTATGTTGGGCCTTCCAAGGACTCAAAAAGGTAAGGATTCCATCTTCGTGGTTGTCAATCGATTTTCGAAGATGGCCCACTTTACTCCTTGCGGTAAGACTTCGGATGCAACAAATATTGTTGATCTTTTCTTTGATCATATTGTGAAATTGCATCGAATTCCCAGAACTATTGTTTCAGATAGGGATTCGAGTTTCCTAGGTCATTTTTAGAGGACTTAATGGGCTAAACTTGGTACTAAGCTATCAACTAGCACTTCTCATCATACCCAAATTGATGGGCAACCGAAGTTGTCAATGGAAGTTTCTGTGCTTTGCTTCGTGGGTTTAAAAGAAAAATCTCAAAGAGTGGGAATCGTTGCTTCCTACTACTGAGTTTGCCTTCAACAAGTCAACCAGCCGCAATACAAGAAAGAGTCCATTCGAAGTTGTCTAGGGTAAGAATCCTCTTAGACCACTTGAGCTTTCCCCTCTTCTAGCTACTCATTCTTTTAGTGGAGATGTTGTTGATAGAGTCAAGCAACTCAAGAAACATGAGAAAGTTCGGGCACATATCGAGAAGCAAAATGCTAAATATAATGAAAAGGCTGATACACGTAGGAAACATGTGGTGTTCAAGGAGGGCGACCCGGTTTAGGTTCAATTGAGTAAGGAGAGATTTCCAAACCGCAAGTTTTCTAAATTACATAAGCGAGCTGATGGACCTTTTAAGGTACTGCAAAAGATTGGTGATAATGCTTATCACTTGGAGCTTCCCAATGACTTTGAAATATCACTTATCTTCAATGTAGCAGATCTTGCTCCCTAACATTCCGATGACTCGAGGGCGAGTCCTTTTAAACCAGTGGAGAATGATGAACATATAGAGACCACATTTTTTACAACAATGGAGGCGTATTGGGCTCATGAAGGTGCCAATGGATATGGAGAATTGGGCCACAAATTTAAAATGCTTACACCAATTAGCCTTACTCCAATTAAGGCCCAAAAATTTCAAGAAATTGAAGAATCCAAGAATCCATTCAAGATTAGGATTCTTTTCCTTACAAGATTAGGATTTCTTAATTCTTGTTTTAGTAGGATTATATTTATAGTTCTAGTCAAACTAGGATTGTTAGTTGGTAGTCCAATCCTACTAGAATTCTTTTTCCTATTTCAATTAGGATAGGTTTTCTTAGCCTTATTCTTATTAATTTAATTAAGATTAGTTTTCCTTAACCTTATCAATTGTACTCATTGAAGGCCTATTTAAAGGGCTTAATAAGCTAAAATAAACATTGGTGATTAGTTTTTCAAAGCAGTTGCTTCAAAAACGTGATTTACTTTTTATTCCATTGTTCTTCCTTTATTCAACGCTTCTTGCAATCTTGCGAGATTGAAAAATATGTGGGTGAGGTTGCTTTTCATCTTACATTCTTCTAACGAGAGTTTGAAGAACGTTTTCGCTAGTTTTGTGAAAAACTTTAGCAAAGTGCTTTTGTTTTTCTCTTCTATGTGCTTGAGAGGTGCAAAACCTTGAAAGTACACCAACTTCACTTATTACCGAATGCTAAAGATGCCACAATAGCAAATTTCCTTAAAAGGAGCAAATGCAGGTAACATCGGAATGTGTCCTTCGGAAGATGTGTGCAGCACTCAAAATGTGAATAAGTAGAAGTACTCTTAAAGATGCCATGTAGCTACAAATAATTTGGAGAGGTTAATAAATTGCTCGATTGAAAGATCAGTTCGATTACAATCACTTAAAATTGGTGGAGAAGACTAAAGGCTATATGGAAGCCCTCGTAGAAAACAAGGCACCCGAGAAAGTGGCTTTTTTGAAATAGTGTGCAACTTGGGGTGCCATATGGATCCCACGTAGTTAAAGAAGATGATGATGCATAAGCTAGAACGTACTGCTTACAAAAGACAATAGGTAATTTATTCCCATCTGCCTAAGTCTCGGGGGGCAAAGTTAGTCGATACATGTACTGTTGGGAGGTATAAAGTACCTAATGGAATAGTTGAGGTGCACGCAAACTGATCCGAACATCAATGTTATAAAAAATATGTAAAAGAGCATGTGGGTTATCTCCTACTACATTTAAGAAGTAGAAAATCTTTCTAAATAAGAAGAAGCTGATCGTAATGTTGCCATGGCCAAAAGGTCAGTTTCTGTAATTTGATATATTCCATATTCAACATTCACTGGGTGGTTCCTAGAACAGCCGAGAGACAATGGAAAATTCAAAGGAATTGGATGCTCAAAAGAAAAGGACATGGAAGACAACAGCCTAATGTAACTTTTGAGTGATATGGAGAGAAAGGAATAGCAGAATTTTTTAGAGTGTTGAAAATCCAATGTCAAGATTCAAAAGTTATTTCTCATTTCTTTCGTGTTGTTGGTGTGAAGAGGACATACCAATTTGTACAACTAGTCAGATTTTTATATGCCTAAACATGACACTTTTGTATAATATACGCAGTTTTACTCATCATCAATGGAATATATTTGATCTATCGAAAAAAAATAAGGTTTGGTTTTAATGAGAAAACAGGTCGAGAACAGGATAACCATTATAGATTCCTTAAATGGAGAAAGAAAAACAAGACAAAAAAACAAGCACAGAATTTGACATATGAGGGCAGATTATGTATGATAGTACATAGTAGTAACTTCACCTTATGTTATTTAGCAAAATGCTATGTGCATATTAGTTTTCCAAGATAGAGATAACAAGAGCACGAGCACTATATTTCTAAATAATAAAAGATGGAGACAAATTTATCTGCAGAACCATCAACATCGCTAGTTGAGGATACACATCATTCACAATTAAAACATCCAAGTCTAAGCTAAATGTTAACACAACAAGCTGAAACACCATTGACAAATTGAGTAATCATTAGAAGAAATATGCACCATACTGGAAGCTTAGTATCAATACCTGCCAGTCAAGGTCTGTATCTCTGGCAAATCAACAGGTATAAGATGAGCATCTGCACAGAATAACAAAAGAGACAACAAGAGTCAAGCTTGTGAAAAGCTAATCAGCATCTAACAGATTGGGTAAATTCCTCAAATTACTATTACCCTAAATGTCAAACAAGGGAGAAACAGAAATCCCGAACATCTAACAGGCGGGGACCTTGTTTGATTGATGCTTGAAATAAACTACTACTGAGAACCAAAATTCATACAACAAGAACTATCAGAGAAAATTTTAGGAGAGCAACATGGCTTATTCCCTTAGTGAGACACTATATTAGAAGCCAAAAGAGAAGTTGATCACAGCAAGATGTTAGGAATAATATGAAAGACTGAAATAGGAATAGGGCTTAAAGTCCTGAAAAGCGACAGGGACTATATAATGAATAACTTTGTAAGAAAAAAACATGATTCTGCACGCATTCTTCATACCAAGATATGTTTTTCTAATGTTATCAAGCAAACAGAGGAACCGCCCGATTTAAACAAAACTGTTGATGCAATTGACACACAGAAGGAGTACTAACAGTTGAGCAGTATCCAACCACATTGCAGTTAGCTAGCTTAATTATGATCCTCCAGAACATCGCACATCTGCTTCTGATTAGCATGTTTATTCTAGTCTTCCTAGTTTCCAACCTCAGCCTCGATGAACAGTATATTACTAAACAAATTTTTCATACTGATTTTTCTACCCAATTCCTTTTCAGCTTAAGCTACTAACCATACAAATATGTCTTAATTGAGATATCACATTTCTTATCATCTTAAAAGTAATGTTGGACATCCCAAGTTGCTTTGACTTTGGATAAGAAATATTCCAGATTTAAGAAGAAACTTACAGCAGAGTATACATCAAACAAGAAACACAGTAGAAAATCAGCAATAAAGGGAATGAATGATATGTATGAAGAAGATGTGTAATGTCAGCAGAAGAGTCAGCCAGAAACTAACCTTTAACAGTTGAGGCCAAAGTTAATATGGTCAGTAAAATAGATAAAATGAAAGGAACTGAATCAGCCAAAGTACATAAAATACAGGACATAATTTAGGCTCTACTTCACGTCCTAACCACAAAACAGAGAATATCCTATTGGTGGTACTTTCTAGTATAGCCAGCATGATAACTACCATGTTCCAGCAAGCTATATCCCCAGTATTATTGTTTACTCTGAGACCGTACACACTACCAGATTCTTTTGTAAAACTAAGTACAACACTAGCGAGTTATCTAGAAATATTATGTGAGATGGACAATTTCATCACCTAAAGATCTAAATAATCTCTTCTCAACTTAAGAATTACAATGTTGGTGATGCACAGTTAATTACTACAAGGACGGCAAAGCCGCTTATCAGTATGAACCAGATTCTGTCTGTGAAGTAATAACAAGTGACATTAGTAACCTTCTTTCAATTTACACACAGCATAATAACATTCTTCCTTATTTTTGTGGGATGTTTCCTGGGGGTGGGGGATTTTCCAGTCTCCTATATCCAGCATTGTCACAATGTTAACAATGTTAGCCATCTACATTTATCAGAATATAAAATGGGAAAGCATTTATAAGGATAAATGAATTCTTATCTTTATTTTCCTCAAATCTCAATTTTCCTTCTTTTCTGTTGTTTCTTCTTCGTAAAGCAGATAAATTGAAAAAGTCCCCCATTTACTCTCACAACTATAAACCAAAAGAAACATCCAGTAAGAAAAACTGGAAACAGGAAGAAAACACTAATATTGTCATTGGCCGTATAATCAAGTTTCTGGTACATCTCTGAAATTTCCTTTTTGGATAGGCTTAGTTCTTACAGATAAGGAGTTCTTCAGGGAATATCTCTCTTTAGCTCTATCATTGAGTCTCCACAACTGGCACTCTCTTACATGTTCACGGCAGTCCACTCAAGAAAACAACATCCCATGCCTCCTGATCACACAGCGCTAGTAGCGTAATAATACCCAGAAGGCCAAACACATATGGAAACTTGAACTTATCAAGATATTTCATCTAGCCACCCAAACTAAACCTATGACCACTGGAACACTTAACCTCTACTCAAATCCTACCACTTAGAAGTCACATAGTGTGGGCCGCGGGCATCACAAATGTTAGCGTGAATGTTAAAAAAGGACTGATATGGATTAACTAATATACAATATCTATCCTTCATTCTCTGGTGCCACCACCATTTATCATAGTCACTGCCTCCACCATCGTAGCTCCTCCCACCTACTCATGCGCCTTCAACATATCCATCACCATGTGGTCCCCCTATAGCGGCTCCACCGCCACCACTGCCTCCACCAGATCACCACCATCTCCACCCATATTAATTTAAAACCAGCCAGCATTCGTCCATAAAAATACCACCAAGCCGTCGTCCTCTTCCTCTATACATTAAATTGCCTCTGTTATTCCAGCCATTATTCATCCATCTCTGTGGAATTCCGGAGGAAAAACACGTAACTTTCAGTTGGAAGCACCAGTCAAAGTGAAATGGAGGTGGGGCATAATGATGGAAACTGTGGAAATCTTGGAGTTCGATGCTGAGGTGAAATGGTCGAGCTTCTAGGGTCTGTGTCCCATGAAGTTGCTTTTCAGCTGGGTTTTTGCAGAGAGTGGAGAAGTGCTCTGTTTTGGATTTGACGTTTGTGAAGGTGTAAGGATGTGGTGATGATGGAGATGAAAAAGGGGAGCTTAGAGGGGTTATCGCAACAAATAGGAGGAGAAGGTGGTGTACAGGTTATTGGTGAGTGAAAGTTGGAGGATATGAATAATGATATTTTTTGGATAGGAAGATGATGAGTTGACAGGTGAAGGAGATGAATTTTTTTTCTGATTCAAAAGATTTTTTAAAATTTATTTGGGATAAAAAGCCGAGGCGTTCTTTAATTGGTGTTTGCCAAGTCACCACGTGTGAATTACACTCATTTTACTTGGTTAATTGTTTGAGCGAGATGTGTCTAAGTGGCTCAGTTTCAGTAGAGGTCAACTGTTCAAATGTTCAAAGGCTAAACGAAATATTCGGACAATTTAGTCTATGTATTCGGCCTATCGAAAGAATTACTTTCTGCTATAGCTTTGAAAAATTTAAAACAAAACATAGATTAACAGCAAGGAAGCTGGAAAACATGTCACACACCTAGAGATGGTGGCCTGGTTGCAAAGTGAATGGAACCCAAGGTTGAAGATTCAGAGAAGGCAACAATAATTCTACTGCCATCGGGATCCCAAGCTGCTCCCTGGTAATGAAAAACATGATTAAAGTTAAATTGTGTAAACGTATCAATGGACCAGCAATACTATGTAAAACAGTCCACAACACTGTCTAGCAAATCAACATACAATGCGCCAAACCAGGGCCTCTGTAGCCTAATAACAGGGCATAAATTGCAAAACAAGAGCATCAACCAATTAGGTTTCGCATCTTATCCAGAAAAACACTAATCATATCATCTATCCACGGACCATTACTAAGAAACAGAATGAAGAGGGGGAAGAGTGCATCTCTAACTATGAAGATTAAACCTAACTTCACTATATTACCATGCCTCTATTCACTCTCTAACCATCTTATTTTGCCTTCTGAATAAGCATAATTCAAAAGGAGCATCCATGTATATCCATGCACAAAAACACAATGACTTTACCAAATTTCATAGGTATGTCAATGAAAGATCCTAAGACCCAAAATGAGCACAAAACAAAAAAAGCAAAGAGCTCTCTCGATTAACAATATAGTACAAAGTGGAGATAAAAAGATAATATCTGCTTCAACTAACCGTGACAAAGCCATTTGTTGAGGACCATGGTTCTGATGTCCATGTGTTAGTCTCCCAGAGATAGAATGTCCCATCACTGTGAAAAGAGAGGATACCAGGGAGAATAATCAGCAAAAAAGTAATATTTTGTAAGTTTCATTCATGTGCATACGGGATTCAGAAATTTAATAAAGTCGCATTACAATTTTGCAGAGAAGAAATAGTCTCCTGACGGGGACCATCTCAACAAAGATATGCCCCCTAAGCCACGTCGAATAGGCGTCCCCACTCCTGTAGCATAGATTAATGCTTATAACAAAATTAGAACTGCAAATTTGCAACATAGTATACTCATAAACACACAACATACATACATACATACATATATATATATATATATATATATATATATATATATATATATATATATATATATATATATATATATATATATATATAAACCACAAAACTGTAACAAATACACATAATACATATAAAACTGTAATACTTTTTATACACAAACAGTACATCTTAAAAAGAAATGGGATAAGAGAAGTTCGATAAATATGCATAGGCAAACATCTAAGGTAAGACTCGCATAGGCAAACATATATAGACCAGCTAACTTATAAGCTCTTTCATTTTTCCACTTTAACAGCCCCAAGACGAAGTCACTATCCACTAGCTCTCGTTCTGGTTTATCTAGGACAATTACAAGCATATTTGCACTGAAAGCGAAGTATTCAAAGAAATTTGTTCCTGCAGTGGCAAAAGCTTTATGGAGATACAGGAAATAAGAACAGGAGGCTTATCTTTCCAGCATAAAAGTGGGAAGCCTTCCAAGAAAACAAAACCCTCTTGATAAAACTTCTCATAGTCCCAAGAGAGATTTTAAGTTGTGCAGAATGAAGATTTGTTAGAATGTAACGATGTAAAAAGATAGTGTTCCTGCTCTTCTTTCAATACCCAACACGGGAAAAGCGATACTATTCTTTTTTTAGAAAGAAAAAGTGATACTACTCTCCTTCCCCCCTCATTTCCTTTCTTCTTTCTAACTAATGCAGTTAGTTTCTTTATATCCAGATATGCCACAAAGTAAGGGTGGATAACTTGCTTTAATATTTTTTTTACACTTCAGGAAGAACATATTTACATACTGTCAATGTCACAATTACTGGGAGGATGAAGTACCATTAACCTCTTGATTTGGCAATACAATGATTATTGAAGTAAAAAAGAGATTCAAACTTGAAAGAGCATCTCTCATACACTGCTTAATTTTAAGAAAATTCCAATAGAGCAACGCGATCATCCAGAACTCATATTGACATGGCAAACTGTGATGTCCTCAGGTATATTGAATCAGAGTTCTCAAAGGTTATTAGTTTTGGGTTTCCTAGCAGACTACTCCCTAGAAACCTTTTCCCCTTTGCATATCTTCTGGACACTTGTCTAATGTTTATAATATTCAGGAATCTTCAATTCGTCATGGGCTGAATTCCACTGTCAAGAAGATTTTCTTTGAAGTCACAGTATGCCTTGATGTTGTCATCTTGATCATCAAAATTAAAAGATCATTCCGAGCCTCATGAATTTCAGAGAGACCATGAATTTTGAAAGTGGAGCAAAGAAAACTAAAGAATTAAAAAATAAAAAGGCTTGCATACATTTCACCTGAGAAAGCTATAAATGCTATCATTAAGCACCATCACTCCAGGCATCAAAGTTAAAGTGATGCCCATAAATCAAGAGGTAAAAAGGAACAGAGAGAAAAGGCAGGAAGAATATTTTAATGGTGAAGAAACTAATCATGATGTGCTCTGAGCGAGCTAAGAACTGCACAGAATAAGAGCCCGTTTGGCTGAGCTGATTTAGAGTAGCTGATAAGCATAGGTGCTGAAAAGCACTTTTAAGTGCTGAAACTGATTTAAAAAATAAGCAGTTACGTGTTTGGATAAAAGTGCTGAAATTAATAATAAGCAGCTAAAAAATTGGGTATACAAACAGTTTTGTTTTAAAAAGAAGCATTTTAGGGTAGAATAGTAAATATTTTGGTCAAACCTAAAGTGCTTATACGCTGAAATTTGATAAGTTGGGGGAGACCAACTTATGGCTTTTGGCTTATTTTTGGCTTATAAGCACTTAACTTATAAGCACTTTTAATTTTACCAAACGCGTAGATAAGCCAAAAAGTGTTTATAAGCCAGTTTTGACCAGCTTATAAGCTTAGCCAAACACCCTCTACGTTACCAACCTGTTGCAGGTACAAAGGAAACAGTGCCTGGCACTTAAACAAGTAGAAAAAGTTGCATACCTTGAGCAACATCCCATATGATGAATGAAGAGCTCTCAAATGAAGCTGATGCCAAATATGTAAAAAGGTCAAGGAAATTTTCCAATCATCAGAAGTTCCATTCTCAAACAAGTAATTGGCAGGCCCTTTGTTAACCATCTAAAGTAAACTTAATTTTCCAAATACTGTTCTACCAGCTTATATCTATCCGTTTATACGACGGTCATATCACTTTCTCATAATGACAATCAGCGAGAGGAAAACAACTAAATGAAACAGAAATCACATGGTTTATGAGAGAAATTTTAATCACTTCAGAGTTAAAATGCACAAGACCTGAGTTCAAATAAAAAGAATATGGAAGTATCGTAATGGAAGTATAATTTGGTTAGATTTGGAAATAAAGTGGTAAAAGAATGTGAGCAAACAAGCTTCATGCTACAAGAGAGCAGATTGGACAATGGCTTTGTTATGACCATGTACTTCACCATACTCATAAACAATATAACAATTTGTCATGAACATAGATCAGCATCACCAGGAACCTATTCTGATGTCAATCACAAGATAATATACAACAACAAACCCAGTGCAATCTCAAAGGTGGGATCTGGGGAGGGTAGAGTGTACGCAGACCTTGCCCCTACCTTAAGAAGGTAGAGAGGTTGTTTCCGGTAGACCCTCGGCTCAGATAATATGCATTTGAAAAATTAAAATGCATTTGAAAAATTAACACAAGGAAGAGATGGGAAAATTTGAGAGATTGAGGCTCGCAAAATACTGTTAGTTGCTGTGAATTAAAACGGAAAATACCCAGAATGCTCTAGCAGTAAGGATATACTTATAGTAGATGCAAATGCATCCTAGACCATATGTATAGATTTTAAATTACTTTGGATAAAGGAGTCCTAACTTTTAGTTCGCAAAGTTCCTCCTATTATTGCCTTATTTATCATCCAAATGAAAATTTATCCGTGCATTCTCTTTATGGTGCAATTATTTTACAGGTAGTGGTTACCATAAAATCTACTCATCAAATAAAATCGATTATCCCACTTAGGTCCATGAACGAGGTAAAATTTGCAAGAATAACAAAATAAATGTTTGGCAACCATTTAGGATATCTTCCATTTGGGCTCCATGAAAGTGCAGTAATTTGTTCGTGTTCAGGACTTTGAAGAAAATCCACAAGAGTCCATTTAGTTCCTGAGCCTCTAGAGAGAGTGCCCAATGTGACTCCTGATCTCACTGAAGCTGCATTGCCTGGATATGAAGCAGCCCAAATGCAAATGCCACCCCTATACAGAGAAGCAGTTGGAAACAAGCACCAGATAAATGAACACATGAAGTATGTATCAAACGAATATGAGATATCTGACAGATTCAGGAAATCTAAGATATGAAAAACTAAAGATACTAACTTGCAGGCCACATAGAGTGACCTCCCACCATTTGGCCGCCATGCTAGACTTCTAACATCTTTTTGGGATTCATTGATCAAAGTACAGGGACTCTTTCCTTCTGGCACAGATAAAAAGGTTTTCAAAACATGAAAAATTTCAAACGTCACTTGAGAACAGCATATAAAGATGAAAGATTAACACTGCCAGACAAAAGCAATAGAGTCCAATAACCAATATGAAGTAGGATATCTTGGCTTGAACTAAAAATAGAACCAAGCAAGTAAATGCACGAAGGACCATATAAGTACTAACCAGAATCTTCATAGTCATGAATTGTCACCTGATGCAACCCTGAAATAAAGGCTAAAATATGCTTGTGCTGGTGCCAACCAAGGCCATGGAAATCAACATCGTGTAACAATTTTACCTACAAAACACATTTTAAGAAAAATGAAAACAGCATTGGCGATTTACTTCCTTTACAGTTTTGAATTAACCACCAGTGTAGGTAAATGCATAAATATATCTATTTGAAAAGGTAAAAATTACTGTATCTATTGTCATTTACCCCCCCCCCCCCTCCCAGGATACTTTAAGGCAGACACTTTTAGTCATAAGCATAAAGTTTTGCACAAGATAAAATCAGAGACCATCTAAATCACTAGGTTAGTGGGTTTAGTGCAATGCTGAGAAATCTTCAAGGAGTACAAGTTCATGATTTAGAATAGTCTAATGGGCTATATTCAGCTAACTTCTTTCGTTTCTATGAATTAATGTTCTTTTAATCAAGAGAATTTCATCAATAACAGGCATACTCATATAATCAAGGAGCACCAGAAAGAAAGGGGAAGAAACATTATGGAAATTCTATAACAGGATGGTTGAAGTTGCTAACTCTGTGTAAACGTGCTCACGTTCTTGGTCCTAAACCGGGATAAAGGAGGAGGATTGCGCTAGTCAATTTATGATAATCTTCACAATACTTATGTCGTTGGAACGTGCTCACCTAGGCACAAATTACATCGGCACCCTAATGTGATAAAAACTAGGCTAGGAGTTCCATCACCTTGTCACCTGGCTGTGAGGGAATATGAGCCAGAGTTCCTACATCATTGAAGAATGTGGGTATAGAAGTTGGTCCTGCCAGATCAGTGCCCACATGTGGAGCTAAATTAGAAAGGGTTCCCACATAATGGACGACTATGAGTAAAGAAGTCAGTTTCGCCACATTAAACATCTGTATGTAGTGCAAAATAAGAAAGGTTTCCTGCATTATAGATGATTGGGGAAAAACTAGTCCAAGAGAATTGGATTTGGGCGGAATTTTAGCTCTTTAACTGGAAAATCAATTGGATTGATGGATACCTTAAAAAAGAGAGATTTGATATTGCATGCCCACAAGAAACCAAATGGGTAGGGCCAAAGGCTGGAGAGATAGGCAACACGAGTTATAAATTAGAGTTTAGCCTTACCCGACGGCTTGATAGAAGTATAGAACCAAGGGATTGTAAGATTACATTAAGAGAATCAATGACCACCCAACATAGGTTGGTGGTATAGTCTAAGAGTAGAGCGAGAACACCTGTAAGTAACTAAAAATTCGGTGGTGAGCATTAAAAGGAACAAACCAGTTAGCTTTTCAAGAAAAACTATGCGATGAGGGAGCATGGGACTGCAAACGGGATGAAGACATCCTGCAAAAGGAAATGTTAGGTAGCATTACGAAACTAGCAAGAGAGTGTTAGGTGTCTCTAAAGGCTTAGGACCTTGTTGACCATAAGAATCTTGTCAGTGGAATGAGTTATTAAAGCAAAAAGAGTGTTGTAAGATATTATCAAAAACAAAAGGCGGAGAAGTCTTTGAAGACTATAAAAGAGCTAAGATAGAAGCTAAACAAGACTATTAGCAGTGCCCGTAGGAGAAGCCACAAATGGCATGTACCAAAGGTTAGAGACACAAGAAGGCTAAAAAAAATGTGTAAACAAGCAGTGCAGGAGAGAGAACAGGAGTAAGAATTTAAACCAAGTGAAATATATTAAAGACGATTTCAACAAGTGTTAACATGAGATGATGAGATCAAGAAGAAATGGAGAGTCTACTTTGACTAAATGTTCAACTCGAACCACGAGATAACCTTTTAGGTCTCCATACATCTGTGCGATGGAAACTTTGGATACACTAATAGAATTCAGCCGGCAGAAATAGAGGATGTAATGAAAAATATAAGGCTTAGAAAAGACTGGTTAGATAGTATCCTCATAGAAGTCTGGAATATCATGGAGACATTGTATTAGGATGGCTTATTAAGCTATTTTGATGATATACTAATAAATGGTAGGATGCCCGACGAGTGGAGAGAGTACCATGATTCTAATAGTAATATATAAGAACAAAGGAATTCAAAGTGTAAAATTATGAGTCATAGATAAAATTTAGGGAAAAAGTGATACAGCGTGAACTTAGGGGCACTATGAAAGTGACGAGAACCCATTAGGATTTATGCCCAGTGAATTTACAAAGGAGGCTATATTCTTGATAAAAAGATTAATGAAAATTTATTGCAAAAGGAAGAAAGAGCACACACGGTGTTCTTCAAGAAAGGTCGTTTGGCGGGTGTTTGAGAAAAAAGAATTCATATTAATGAAATATATAAATACCATAAAGGATATGTATGGAGAAGTCATCACAAGTGTAAGAATAGTCCAAGGAGATACAATAGGAGTTTCCCATAATCGTGTGTTTACATTAAAGAACGATACTGAGCTCATACTTCATTACCGTAATCTTGCATGAGCTAACTAACATAATACAAGATTAAGTCACATGGTGTATGTTATTTGGTAACAATAGTGTGCTAATTGAAGTAACCAACAAGGGTATCAACCAAAAGCTTTCACTATGGAGAAGTACGGTAGAAAGTAAGAGTTTTAGGATAAGATTAGTCAACATAAGAAGCATGAAATTGAGGCAAGAATAGATTGGATTACGGTACGTATATGCAAACAATTCAAATATCCACACTCGATATTTTAGGAGAATGGTATGACGGATGAATATTTTACACCTAGAATCAAAATTCGATGGTTGAAATGGATACTAAAGTCCAACACATCCACAAGATAAATGTCGCACACATGTAGATGCTAAGGTGAATGTGTGGCCTTATAAGATTAGACAAGATTAAAAATGACTACATTCGACAAAAGGTGCAAATAGCACAAACCAAAGATAAAATGAGATAAGATCACTTGAGATGGTTTAGTCACGTCCGGTGTCGACCTCCAAATGCATTGGTCTATATGCATGAAATCATGATAAGTGAAGATGTTAAAAGAGGAGTTAGACCCAAAAATCACATAGAAGGAAATTGTCTTGAAAGACCTACAATCTTTTAGACTCCATGTAGGTTCAGATAAAAGTAGAGTACAATGGAAGAAAATGATCTATACATGCGACACCAATTAGTTTGGGATGTGTTTTAGTCATGTTAGTATGGTTACTTCATGTCTAATGCTGTCTAGAAGTATTTTTGTCATGACAAAGATTTATATACTTTTCCAAAATATATTAAGCTTCTACTTTTATTTTTATTTTTAGATTGTATAATATGGGTCTGAGATGAGCTTAAATAGAGCGTCATGGCAAATGAGAATTTTTAAAGTTGATCCCAACTTTGGGATTGATGCATAGTTGTAGTTGTAGTGCGTCATGGCAAATGAGAATTCTTAAAGTTGATCCCAACTTTGGGATTGATGCATAGTTGTAGTTGAGTTTGCTAGGGTGCTATGGCAAAGAAGATACACAGTAAAGTTAAAGGTGAGTTCTATAATATGGATGTGATAACATTAATATGTGGGAGTGAATGCGTCGCCACTATGGCCCAATAGATCCACATAATGATGTCTTAAAGAATATAGACATTAAGATCGATGTACGGCCATATAATATAAGCAAACATTATAAACGATCTCATGAGATAGAGTGTGCAATTAACATAAAAAGGATAATATAAAACAAGGTCGCCTGAAATGATTTGTCATGTCTAGGCAATTCTAGTCAATGAATGCAATATTATGAAAATTGAAGGTGATAAAAAAGAACGAGGTAAACCTAAAATCACATGAAAGTATATTCTTTTAAATGACCTACAACCTCTCAAAACTAATGGACCAAAATACCAATTAGTTGAGATTACTGGTGTTTGCAAAGAGTCTAATTATAAATTTACATGTAAATGTAAGGATAAGTGGAAGATTCAGAGGAACTCCATTTTTAGAGAACATCTAATTTACTTTGAAAGATAAAATACTTAAAGTTTGAACAAGATGGCCTCAATAAAGCATAATGGATATAGAGGATTCACATAGCCAACCTTAGCTAGTTTTGGGCCAAGGGCACAATTGGGTGATTGATTGATTTATGTGGTATAATTACCTTTAGTTTCTGCATTATCACCTTATTTAAAACCTTGACTTTTCTTTTCTTTCTTCGTTCTTTTTCCTTTTTTTTCCTTTTGGGAGAGGGGCTACTGACTGATGTTATGGTTTTACTTTTACCTTTTGTTTCCCTCTTCTTGAATTTTTTTTTTTTTTTAAACAACTAGAGTTAATTTCTATTTATTTGTGTAGAAGTCAAAGCATACCCATATTGAGCAGTATTATCCATGTGAGTACCCTTTGTAAAGCAACTTCCATTTCAAAAAGGATCGTATGAAGTCATATACAAAAGGCAGCTCAAACTAGTGGTAGCAATTAACAGTAATCCCTTTTTTCCCTCTTCCGATTAGTCTATCTTTTTAGAAATTTGTTCCAATTGAGTTGTTATGTGGACCTACGCAATATAGTTGAAACACTACTAATCCAATGTTGTTGATGTCATTTATCGACTATAGGCTTCTCAGTCAAAATAACTTCTTTATAACACTCTAGACACAACATCCTCCATCAAGCATCTCAAGCTTAATCGTATTTACCTGTATGTTTCCAAAGAAAGTTTTAGAAAATTAAAACAGTAAATTGTTTACAAAGTTGTAAAAGATGTTCACAACATTGAAAAGTTTTTGCATGAAGGACTCGTACATGCAACGAGAAGCTGCTTTATATTGATTAAGAAATCAATTGTTCCTTTTTCTATTTGAATAAAGATTAAGAAATGGATGTTTACATCAACCGGGCGAAAAAAGCGGCTTGGTGAACCAGTAGAGACTGCCTGCAATGCTGCCCAAAGTAAACCACCCTTCCTCTGGTCGGGACCTTGTTCACGGCTCAGTGCACTCGACATATTTTCTGATTGAAAAGGAACGGGACTGAATACAATTCCCTGCAATTACTAACAGAACCACAGTTAATACGGACCATGACCACCAAAAAATTCTACAGTCAACCTATAAACTATAACTAAAAGACATAACATTGGTGTAAGTTCAAGTAAGAACCTCTTATACGAAGAGTCAATAATTATACACAACAAATCTAGAGAATATCGCAGACAATTTGATACGATATGCTACTTGGAAGATGCTAATCTTGTGAAGTTGCTGATATTATTAATTACACCATAGTTCTTTTTATTCCACATTAATTATGTTAACGCATAGGTAATGGAGGCGAGAGGCGAGAGGCGAGAAACGAAGCACTCGCCTTTTTTTATATGAAGCGACAATATATATATAAAATAAAATATTAAATTTACATATATATAAAACTAAAAACTCAATAGCAATAATATATTAATAAATATATCAATTAAAAACTCAGGTTTTGAAAAAGCTCTCTGCCTCTGCCCGTGAAGGAATTGAAAAGGCCAAACCCATAAGCGGCTCATTTAAGTTGGCTCCGCTTTTTATTTTGGCACCTCTACTTAGACCTTTTCCATTTTGACACTCCAACCGCTTATCTCATGTGTCATTTAAACACAAAACACTGACATGTGGTTATAACTCAGGAGCTTGTTCATAACCGCTGCCAACATGTAAAGCTAACGAATTATTTACTGCCACTTGGATTTATTATCCACGTAATTCCCTACCAAAAAATATGAACCCGCACCTGTGCCCGTGAAAAATAACCCGCACCAAGTAAAATTAAATTGTTTTGCATGTGCTCGTCGTTTGGCTTTGCCGGATTTTACCATTGATTAGCCATTATTTTACTATATGGGTCTTTGATTTTTTTTGACTCTCTCTATGCTATATTTATCATTTCTGTTGCCGGGGTTACATGATCAGTTTGGTGTTGTTTTGTTTTCGATTTTTGGTGATCTCTTTTCCCTTCTGCGTACCGCTTATCTCATGTGTCATTTAAACACAAAACACTGACCTGTGCTTATAACTCAGGCGTGTGTTCATAACCGCTGCCAACATGTAAAGCTAACGAATTATTTACTGCCACTTGGATTTATTATCCACGTAATTCCCTACCAAAAAATATGAACCCGCACCTGGTAAAATTAAATTGTTTTTGCCTGTGCTCGTCCTTTGGCTTTGCCGGATTTTACCATTGATTAGCCATTGTTTTATTATATGGGTCTTTAATTTTTTTTTGACTCTCTATGCTATATTTATCATTTCTGTTGCTGGGGTTACATGATCAGTTTGGTGTTGTTTTGTTTTCGATTTTTGGTGATCTCTTTTCCTTTCTGCGTTGAGGCTAGGTTGAAACCTCTTTGAAGCTCCTTTTCCGAGTCCAGTCGCTTATGTGACTTCGTCAAATATTAATGGCTGCATTTGGTGCAAAACCACAACAACAGATATCCAATCCCTTTTGAGAACTCTCTGTTGTTTCTGACATGGTTACAACGGTTATGGAGTTCGAGTTAAAAATGGGGGAAGAAGAAGAAGCAACCTACAAATTAGGGTTGTGGGGTTCGAATTAAAAATCAGGGAAGAAGAAGAAGCAACTAATAAATTAGGGCAATAGGATTCACTTTCCTATTAATTTCGACTAAAGCTTCGACAAATTGCAGAAAAGAAAGCTTGAATATTCATGGAGATGGAGCTTTTGAGAATTAGGGCTTTTTTTTACATATGATAATGGAGAAAGGGTAGGGGAAGTTGGGTATAAATGGGGTAAAATTTAATACCTTTAAAAGGGGAGTGATTTTACCCTCCTAGAGGCCTCACGCGCGAGTTGGGTGATGAGGCTTACTCAATGTGACAGGTCAGTATTTTGTGTTTAAATGGCACATGATATAAGGGGTTGGAGTGTCAAAATGGAAAAGGTCTAAGTAGAGGTGTCAAAATGAAAAGCGGAGCCAACTTAAAGGGCGATTTATGGGTTTGGCCAATCGAAAAACAGAGCCAAAAAAAGGAAGAGAAGAAGAAAAGGGAAGGAAGGAAGAAAGAAATAATGAAAGAAAGAAAAAGCTCTCTGCTGCTCGATCAAAAACAACAGAGCAAAAAAGAAAAAGAAGAATAGAAGAAGAAAAAGGAAGAAAGAAAGAACAAAGAAGAAAGTAAAAAAGGGCCGGAAACGCGAAGAAGACGAAGAAAGCAGAAGAAGAAAGAAGAAAAGAGATGTAGAGAAGCATACCTGATGAAGAAGCTTGAAGAAGAAAGAAGAATCGCTCATGTGACTAGGTCGACTTGAAGGAGAAAGAAGAAGAAATCGTTGAAGCCCTAAATTTTTTCTTTTAATCGCCGGTCTGTTGCCTTTTTCTTTTCTTTTTTCAAATAGCAACACTACAGGGCGCCTCTCACTACACAGGCAGAGACGTTCACCTTTTTGAAATCGCCACGCAACAGAGGCAAATAGCGTTGGAAGCTCGCATCACATCGCCTCATGCTATTAGAGCTGAGGCGAGTGCAATTTACAACACTGCTCTATACACTTCTAATTTCAGTCCTAGACATTTGTGGCAAACTTCAAGTTTCCAAGCTTCCCCTTATCTCTACCGATCGTCAGCATTCGCTAGGGCATCCTTGAATTTCTGGACCGCCAGCGTGGTTCCAGAAGGTGCGGCTACTATGAGTTTTATCTCTTACAACAACACAACTTCCTTCTCTTGCACAAGGATGGTGGGAACAAACTATAGGCCTGAACATCTCCATCCGCCTTTGCCATTTTTTTTTTGACGAAATAAGATTCATCAAGAAGATGCAAGAGCACAAGAAGCTACTTACAAGAAGCAGATATACAAAAATAACAAAAGTGAGTTGCTAGCCCCAATACAGTCTCAATCTAGGACAAGAGAACTAATTGCCATTTTAACATCAACAACCTCCTATTAATGGTACTGTCTATTATGGTCATCAAGTAAATGCCTCTTCTCCTATCCATGGACTTGAGACTGATTTTATATCTTCTCGCGAGGTTCGTACTCTTGAAACTCTATTTCTCAATGATGTTATTGCACATAATGAATATATAATCCATACGGAGTTGGATTTGGCACTTGGTGCTTGTTCAACAAGGGATGGAAAAACCCTTGTGTTGAATGATGTAAAGGAAATATGGTCGTTTCCCGTAAATGACAGCCTTGCTATTGTAGAGCATATAGTCAGAACCGAGGAATGCTACACTGGCACATGTTCCACTATTAAGGAGTGCAGGAGGCTTAATTCAATTCAGCTAGAGAAAGAACAAGGGAAGCGACGTGCATTTCAAATTCTTTCAAAATTAGCATTGATGAAGTAGTGGAGTCTTTTGATGGATTAATGCACGTCTCTTAAGATCTAGGGAAAGTAAAAAGCACAGGGGTGACGGCACATGTTTCGATGCTTATGAGGTCAAGCAAAAGATGGATGAACCATGGAGAGAACATGTTGAGGGTGGAAAAAATATAATTCCTCTAATTTGCCTTCTTTTATTGATACTGATTGGAGCACTTAAGTTGTTGTTGCAGCAAGTCCAAGTGCAGTTGCTCCAGATGCAATCATTTTGCTAATTTCAAGGAATTCTCTCCTCAAACTAAGGTTGTTGCGAATTGACCTATGAGCAAGATGGCGGTCTTGTGCTTGACATGGGAATGTTGTCCACTACGTGAAGACAAGTGTCTTATAAATGCAAAGTTAGAAATGTATGAGAATTCTTTAAAAGTTTTTATAAGGCAAGAGATAAGTTACCCTTAAAGCTTGCAATCTGGATCACGATGCCAATATTGCAACACACCGAGGCATTGAAAGAGAAGAGGTGAGCTGCTCTTAAGCTATTGCTGGAGCTAATGCAGGCTGGGAAAGGTTGTGCATTTTCTGTGCTGGATCACCCTCTAAAGCAATGTTCCAAAAACATGCTTCTTGAGATGGCCCACATCAAAACTGCTCGTGCTCTACTCCAGGAAGAAGTTTCGGTTATTGTTTTCCCAATTTTACAAAGAAATGTTGCCGCTCGCGATATAATTTTTTATTGGTGGCATGTTAATCCTAGCATCGTGTTGCAAAATCTTCTAGATGCTTTGAGCGTTGACCTCCACAACAAGCGCACAGTTTTGGATTTCTGTCAAAAGCTAAAGAGTTTATCACCCATACTGGATATGATTCTTTATGATTTCGGCATTAGACTTCTTGTCATTGCCACTCACCAAGAGCTCATGGATTTGGAGAAATGGTTGAGCAATATCTTAAACACATCTAAATATGTCTGGTATGAGGAATGCTTTGAGTTCTTGAAGGAGGTGGTCCTTAAATCTCCTCTTGGCCTAGTTTCTCCACACCACTTATGAGGAGCTAAAGAAGTTTCTTCACTTGTTGTTGAAGCTAGCATGCCAATACTATGTGAAACTTTGTTCCTTATTTGGTGTTGATACATTTTTGAATGGAAAAGATGTGCCAGAAATAGCAGGTGTAGAATTGTTTGCATTGGAGAAGGGTGACAGTACACATTTTAGCCAATATGGTGTTGTTGACGAATACATGAAGCAACTGCTTTCACTAAGGGAATTGCTGACTAATAATACTAGTTTTTCTCGTGTTAGGAAGGAATCATATAATTGGGGATTTCTCTCAACTTGTTTGATCCAGAGTGTTGTTGTTTCTTCATTTCCACATATCACCTTTGATGATAAGGGTGACTTGATAGAGAAGTGGGTTGCCGACTTTTGTCCGCTTCATGTGAATGACCAAATAGTTTATTCGTGCTCGTCTGCTGGAATTTCAAAAGATGGTTCATGCAATGGCCTAGAATACTATGTAGCTCTGGAAAGAGATTTTATGGAGGCAGCAGCTGTCAACTTAGTGGTTGGAGAGCAGCCAGCAGATGTTTATATTGGAAATGCTCTAAGTGTTCATCATAATATAAGAGGAGGTAGTAGAAAGGACCATGCAACGGACTCCAATTCTTTATTAGCCAAACTATTAATTGATCAAATTGAGAAGACATTGGTGAAGCAGGTAGATGTAACCTCAGTGAATGTGGTTATCTATGTCAGGCTGCGTGAACAATTCAAAAGTAAGATTGGAGGAAAAAGGTGATGATAGGCTGCTATTACGTGCATCTTGCTATGCGGCTAAATTTTATCATGGTGCATCTGATTCTTTTGTCCAAGTGGACAGTCTAAGTACCATGGTTAACAAAGCTGCGTACTCAACTCTTTTGCTCACCCGCAATTCTTTATAATGGTGAGCACACTTTTATGTTAATTGCCATTCCAACGGAAGGTTTATATTCCAGTTACTCAACACAGAAGGTTCTCGGTGTATTAATCACTCATGTGGGCTTATGGATAAGTCATACAATGAGTTCTGAAGTGGGGCATGATGATCCTCATAGCTACTTATCATCCAAAGATAATTGGTATTGTAGATTACTTGGAGGCAATGGTTGGTGAAAATCCGCACCAAGAGTATGAAATATTTGTTGTTCAATTGAGTAAAAGGCCCTTTGTATGTTCTTTCATAAATGAACTTGTAAACATCGAAATTTTAACGGATCAACCTAAATCCGAAATTCAAGATACTACAAGACGTCTCTTAAAATTCTAGGAGTCTACTAGGGTTGCTTGGAGGCCACTCTACCAAAACCTAACTTAGAGGCTACTCTACCCTAACCCTAGGTCATTCCTATAAAAAGGGTTACATATTCCCTTAAAAAAGGATCTCAAAAAGTGGAGATCATCTCGAATATCCCATAAACTCGCGGGATACTCACAAAGAGATCAAGATGTAGCCGGATAATTATTGATAATCAAACAATTCAAGAAGACCCACAACATACTTTCATGGATATCAGATACATCCAAGTAAGTGCATCATCCTACATTCAAGAAACACGCTGCTCTAGCTCCCGAACACAGAGATAATCATGAGAAGAATCAAGGGAGAAATAGAATTGTACTCACAATTGATTAATAAAATTACTTTACTCTTTTGTGATTGCAATTATTTTTCGTATTGTTGAAAACTTGTTGCAAACAAATTGGCACGCACAGTGGGACCAATTCTACCCTTCATATCTTCCTCCAACAAATCGAAAACTACAAGTTTCAAAAATATTTGTTACGGTGACGGGTACTTCAAGTCTTGTCTTCAAGTTTCGGCAAGCCTACACACCGACAAACCTTAAAGTACGGGCATTTGTAGACATCAACATTTTAACGGATCAACTTAAATCCCAAATTCAAGATACTACAAGACGTCTCTTGAAATTCTAGGAGTCAATTAGAGTTGCTTGGAGGCTACTCTACCCTAACCCTAGGTCATTTCTATAAAAAGGGTTACATATTCCCTTAAAAAGGTATCTCAAAAAGTGGAGATCATCTCGAATATCCCATGAAATTGCGGGATACTCACAAAGAGATCAAAATGTGGCCGAATAATTCTTGATAATCAAACACTTCAAGAAGATCCACAACATACTTTCATGGATATCAGATACATCCAAGTAAGTGCATCATCTTACATTCGAGAAACACGCTGCTCCAGCCCTTGAATCACGGAGATAATCCAGAGAGAAGAATCAAGGGAGAAACAAAATTGTACTCACAATTGATTAATAAAATTACTCTATTGTTTTGTGATTGCAATTATATTTCGTATTGTTGAAAACTTGTTGCAAACAGAACTATTGATGACTATGAAAGAACAGAGTGATGATATCCACTCAGTGAAGAAAGATAAAGATGGTATTCTCTGTTTGATTGCTCTACATTGGGTCAGAAAAGAAGATTGACTTTGCAAGCACTTCTATGTAGTCAAGCTTCCTCTAATTTTGTTTGTGTTGTACGGGGCTATAAACATGAAAATTCTTAAGTGTCTCCACACACTTCTATGTGTTGGAGACATCAAATGGAGTAATTTTAATGTTCAGTTAACCAGTGTTTAGAAAAGCGTGCGCTTCGTCGCTTTAAGCGCGAAGCGACGCAACGCGACCTACTGTCGCTTCCAGTACCCTGAGGCGACTCGATATGAGGAAGCGCGCGCTTCACTGGAAAAAGGGCTGAAGCGATGAAGCAGAGAAAGCGATGAAGCGATCGCTTCTGTGCAAAAAGCGCAGGGGGTGTCTTTTTTTTAAAAAAAAAACTTTGGGTCTGTTATTCTATTAGACAAAACAGACCCTAAATCGAATTTTGTTACCCCTTCTCCTTCGACAAAACAGAGTCTCACAAAACCTAGGGTTTTTTACCTGCTGAAGCTGAAATCGAAAAACAGAGACGCCATTGCTGACCCTTTCTCTCTCGCTCGATCTCGACCATTCTCCTTTCTCGCTCGCGACTCGACCAATCTAGGACCCAAGTAATTTCTTCTTCTCCTTTCTCCTTTCTTCTTCTGTTCTTCAGTTCTTCTCGTTTTTTTTTTCTTTCTTTCTCTGTTTCTCCCGTCCACAACAGAGTAAGTAACCATTTTTTCTTTCTTTTTCCTTTTCATTTGTGTATATTTCAGCATATATATTTAATTATTATATGTATTTCATTTTATTATTATATTTCAACATATAAAATTAATTATATATATATATATATATATATATATATATATATATATATTATTATATTTCAGCATATAAAATTAATTATATATATGTTATATTTTCAGTTTATTTGATTAATTTTATATGTATTTCATTTTAGAAAATCATTATTATTTATTTATGTATTTTCAGTTTATTGATTATGTTTTCTCTTATATCTTAATAGGGATATTAAAATGTCTCAAAGTTCTAAAGAGAAAGACCCGGCTTGGCGATATGGCGAGAGATTTAATGAGAAGAATACAAATGTTGTATGCAAGTTTTGCAACAAGATTACAACGGGTGAAATTTATCGCTTTAAATACCATCTAATTGGTGGCGATAGAAACGTCACAAGTTGTCCGAAATGTCCACCGGAGGTGAGGGAAGAAATAAAGAATTTTGTTGAGAAGAAGAAGGAGCAAAAAAATCAAATGAGTCATCAACCAATGGTGACCAATCTTGATGATGATATTGAAGAATTTTCACTTCCAACAAAACGGGAAAGAGATGGGTCAAGCCATGGATCATCGACTAAAGGTCCTATAGATTGCTACTTCCCAAAGAAGCCGGAAGCAAAGGTTGGTGGAAAAGATGTACAAAAAATTGCTAAAGACATTTTGAGAGATCGTGCAGTTAGAGCTTTTGCACAAGACACTTTTGGAGACTTTATTGAGGTCGTTGGTCAATACGGACCTGGGATGAAGCCTCCCACTTATCATGAAATAAGAGGTTCTTATCTAAATAAGGAAGTGGAGGAGACTAATAAAATTGTTGAGGAGCATAAAGTGGTGTGGAACAAGTATGGCTGCTCCATTATGATGGATAAGTGGACAGCAAGAACGAGCAAAATGATTATTAATGTGTTGGTGAATTCTCCCCGGGGAAGTTAGTTTCTTGAGTCCATTGATGCTAGCGACTCATCCACCGATCACATCAAAATGTTCACCTTGTTTCAGAACATTATCTAAAAGATTGGCCCGAGCAAAGTTGTTCAAGTGGTCACTGATACTGCAAGTGAAAATGTGAAAGCGGGTGGCATGATTGAAGGAGCATAATACAAGAATGTTTATTGGACTCCATGTACGGCTCATTGTATCAACTTGATGTTCGGGGACACTTTCAAGGAAAAACCCTTCTCTACAGTTTTTGGCCAGGGCGTTAGGGAACATTCTTATATTTCTCAACGGCCTTTGTTATTGAATATGATGAGAAGATTCACCATGCAAAAAAATTTGGTGAAACCGGGCAAGACAAGGTTCGCCACTGCTTTCTTGACTTTGCATAGTATCCACTTGCAAAAAGGCAATTTGAGAAAGTTGTTCACTTCAGAGGAATGGAGCAAGAGTAAATTTGCAAAGGAAAGTGCGGGGAAAGAGGTTGCACGCATTATTCTTTCTTATTCTTTTTGGAATAATGTCCTTCATGCTCTTAAAATTGGTGACCCTTTGGTTAAAGTACTCGGTTTGGTGGATGGGGAGCAAAAACCACCAATAGGCTACCTCTATGAAGCTATGGATAGGGCCAAGGAGGCTATTCAAGCATCATTCACTAATGAGCAGAAATATGCAAAGGTCTTTCAGATCATTGATGCAAGATGGAATGAGCAACTTCATAGACCTTTGCATGCAGCTGGACTTATTCTGAACCCGTCACTCTTTTATGATCAGTATGAGAATAATTCATTGGCTAAAGAAGTGTGGACAGGATTCCATCAGGTTGTTATCAAGTTGACCCCAGATGAAGACTTGCAAGAAAAAATATCAGATCAGGTTGCTACTTACAAGGCAGCTAAAGGACTTTTTAAGCTCCGACTTGCAATTAAACAAAGAAAGACTAAGTCGCCAGGTGACCAAGTATTTCTATATTTTATAGCTCTAACTTCAATTTATTTTTTATACTTATTAACTCTTGAACATTTTTTTTGACTTCTATAGTTGAGTGGTGGGACCAATATGGTGTAGAGACTCCGGATTTACAGACTTTCGCCATCAAAGTTCTAAGTTTAACTTGTAGCTCATCCGGATGTGAAAGGAACTGGAGTGTTTTTGAACACGTGAGAAATAAAAAGAATTATTTCGTGTTTTGAGATAAAGTAAATTATATCTCAATTGTCCAAACTCCTACTAATTAGTTGACGCATCTTGTTTGCAGATTCATACAAAGAAGAGGAATCGACTAACCTTGAAGCGCCTCCATAATCTTGTGTTCATAAAATACAATAGAGCATTGAGGCGTCGCTACAACCACCGCAATATAATTGATCCAATTCTTTTGGACAATATTGATGAGGCTAATAAGTGGCTAATCGGAGTCCCCGAAAATTGTGAAGATCGAAGAAGTATTTGAAGGCGACTCTGATTTCACTTGGGGTGATGCTGCGGTTGGTAGTGGAGTTGGGGAGAATCCTTATGGTTTAAGGAGATATACTCCAAGTTCAAGCTCTATTAGGAAGGGAAAAAGTGTGGCTACTACAAGTCGATCCCTATCCCTAATTGATGAAGATGAAAGTGATCATGAAGAGGAGGGGAAGAAGAAGAAGACGAGCAATATGAAGATAATAGAGGAATTCAAGATTTTGACAATCTAAGTGTCAAAAAAACCGACCGCTTCCTCGCTTTAAGCGAAGCGGAGCGCTGGGTGGGTCGCAACCCCAACAAAAAGCGGCTCAGGTGGTAAAAAGCGACCGCTTCTACCAAAAAAGCGAGAAGCGGTGAAGCGGTAGGAAGCGGAAGAAGCGAGCGCTTCTGGAAATAAAAGCTCAAACGAGTCTTTTTCAATTAAAAGACCCAAATCGAGTGAGTCTTCTGTTTTAGTCATTCTTCATCAACAACCTAGGGTTATAAACCAGCCTTTTCTTCCTCAAAAAACCAGCGATTTCTTCCTCAAAAAGCAACGATTTGTTCAAGCAAACTAGGGTTCTTCTTCTTCTTCTTCAACATTACAACAAGTCAACAGCAGCTTCCAAGTTTCAACAGGTATGTTTTTATTTTCATTCTTGTTCTTCTTCTTTTTCTTCGTCTTTTTCTTTTTCTTTCTAAACGTCCAAAAAGCGCCGAAATGCCGGCGAATTTTTTTCAGGGCCCCGTTTCTGCCCAGATTCTGCGCAATTTCTGCCAAATTATATATTTTTTATTCTTAGTTCTTATTGCCTTTCTTGTGTGTTATGTAGTTGATATTTTAATGGCGCCAAAAGAAGATAGGAAAGACCCGACTTGGGCTTACTCGGCAAGAGTTAGCGAGACCAACAAGATGGCCATTAGATGTCTTTTTTGTGATAAGATTACAAATGGAGGAATTTATCGTCAAAAAGTGCATCCAATCAGTGGTGATCCAAATGTCGCATTTTGTCCTAAAGTTCCGGGGCATGTGAAGGAAGAATTGAAAGCATACCTTCAAAAAAAGAAAGAGTTAAAGACTCAAATGATGCATGAACAAGAACTTTATAATCTTGATGATGATGATGAAACAGAAGAAGGTGACGATGCTTCATTGCTTCCACCAAAATCACAAAAGCGGGGAAGGATGCTTCCACCAATGTCTTCTAGTTGTGGATCTACTGGCAAGACCAAAGGTCCTATGGATTGTTACTTCCCGCAAAAATCTGGAGATAAGGGAGGAAAAAGTGGTAATTCTCAAGTTGATGCAAAAGCGATTTTGAGGGACCGTGCAGTTACCTGCTTTGCCCGGTGGATGTATGATGCAGGTCTTCCTTTTAATTGTGTTAATTATACTGACACTTTTGCTGCTTTTATTGAGGCCGTAGGCCAATATGGCCCAGGAATGAAGCCTCCAACTTATTATGAAGTTAGAGGGCCATATCTAAAAAAAGAGGTGGCAGAGGTGAACAAAATCGTGGAGGAGCACAAAGTAGAATGGGACAAGTTTGGTTGTTCCATTATGATGGATAAGTGGACCGCGAGAAATGGAAAAATGATCATCAATATCTTGGTGAATTCTCCTGAGGGAAGCCTGTTTCTTGAGTCCGTTGATGCAAGCGACTCTTCAACTGATTCAACCAAAATGTACTCCTTGTTCAAGAGTACAATAGACTCTATTGGAGCAGAAAATGTTGTTCAAGTTGTCACGGACAACGCCAGTGCAAATGTTAAAGCTGGTGATATGATGTCTGCTTGCTACCCGCATATCTATTGGACTCCGTGTGCAGCACATTCTGTTAATTTGATCTTTGGTGATATTTTCAAGGAAAGACCCTTCAGTAATGTCTTTAATCAGGCAATTAGAGAGCATTCCTATATTGTTCAAAGGCCTTTGTTATTGAACATGATGAAGAGATTCACTAAACAAAGAAGCTTGGTGAAACCTGCAAAGACAAGATTTGCTACTGCATTCTTGACTTTGGCTAGGATGTATGAGCAAAAAAGCAATTTGAAGAAGTTGTTTGTTTCAGAAGAGTACACTAGCAGTGCCCATGGAAGGGAAGCTCAAGGGAGAGAACTCTGCAGATATTATACTTTCTCCTTCATTCTGGAACAATGTTGTTCATGCATTGAAGATTGGTGGTCCTTTAGTTAAAGTTCGTTTGGTGAATGGGGAGCAAAGGCCACCAATGGGCTACTTGTACGAAGCAATTGATATGGCAAAGGAGGCTATTCAAGCCTTTTTTAGTGATCAAAGAAAATACAAAAGAGTCTTTGAGATCATAGATAAAAGGTGGGATAGTAAGATTCATAGACCTTTGCATGCAACTGGACTTGTTTTGAACCTGAAAACAATGAAGAGAGGATTCTAGGAGATGAACCTTTGTGGAATGGATACTATGGATGCATTGAGAAGTTGATACCTGAAGAATCCGTGCAAGATAAACTCATAGAGCAATTTAGTATTTATAGGAATGCCGAGAACCTTTTTGGAAAAAACATGGCCATTAGACAAAGAAAGACAAAGTCACCAGGTGAGCGAGTGCTTATATGTTGTTTTATCGTTAATAAGTTATTTCTTTATTAATATTATGTTTTGAAAATTTGTTCTACTTCTACAGTTGAATGGTGGAAGCAATTTGGTCATTCTACTCCAGATTTACAAAAGTTTGCCATCAAGGTTCTAAGTCTAACATGTAGCTCATCCGGGTGTGAAAGGAATTGGAGCGTGTTTTAGCATGTCAGAACTAATAAGAAAGATTTAGTATATTGAGATAATTAAATTATATCTCAATTGTCCTAATCTTACTAATTACTTATTATTGGCAGACTCATACCAAAAGAGGAACAAACTAACCTTGAAGCGTCTCAATGATCTAGTCTTCATTAAGTACAATAGAACATTGAGGCGTCGTTACAACGCTCGCAATGTAATTGATCCAATTAGTTTGGACAACATCGATGATGCTAATGAATGGCTAACTGGAGTCCCGGAAGATCATGCAGATGAAGAAGTATTTGAGGATACTTCTGATATCACTTGGGGTGATGTTGCGGAGACGCGTGGAATTGGGGAGAGGATTTATGGTTTGAGGGGGAGTACCTCAACTTCAAGTTCACAGAGGAAGGGAAAACAGGCAGCTACTTTGTCCCTAGTTG